AGCCTGAAGTCAACTAAAGGGCTAATGATAACAAACAAAAAACGCCTGCCATTTGATCTAATATTAGACCAATGAAAAATCGGAGTCAGGAGGGTGAAATCGTATAGACAAACCGCTCAAGGTTTTTGACAGTGATATATAAGGGGTAGCGAGTGCGCACAAGCTTTTCACCTCCTCCTCCCTCTTCGTCATGACACTTAACGCCTCAACAGACATTTTTCATCAAGGAAAAACATTCCATACCCGTCCATTCACATTTTTAATCGAACAGCCATTAGGTGTGCCTTAATTTATTCAACTTTGAACATTTATTAAGGCAATTAACAAACCGACATGAATTCCAGCATACACTCGCTAGAAGAAGAGTAAGTAGTATCGAGAGAGCACCCATGATCATTCAACAGTGAAGTAAGATGAACTGTGGCATTCCAACTAGAGGAAAGAGAACGAATACAGGTACACGAGTGGAGCTTAGTTTGGATAGAGGAAAGGTAACATACATTCGTTATTATGAGAAAATCGTGCCATGCTACTTCTCTAGTTGAGGTAGGGCGTGTATCGATGATTTACGAATTCATGCCTTCCCAATTGGTATACACGCATATTGACTACTACACCACCAGTCTACACTTATTAGGGTAATATAAAAATTTAATTCCCTAATGGAAGGAGAAGATTGAGAGGAATTAACTAGCTAGCATAGAAACTTTTCAAAGGATGAGCTCTGGATTCCAAATAGTGGTCAACCTAATTTGACTTCAATTTACCGAACGCTGATAAAAGTTAGGCAACAAGACTACATTGTTGAACGAATCGGAAGAATGGATTGAGTGACACTTCATTAGCCAACTTCTGGTTCACTAAGTCACCAAGGCAACACGAAAGTCAGATAGTAAGAGCAGCAACGAAATTATAGACGAGCCTGCCAGCTGGTAGTGAGAACATCTGCTCGCAGAGAGATGAAAGACAATTGATAAGTACCATAAATAGATTAAGAGATCAAAAAGCTAAAAGCATCACATTACAATTAATTGACTGTCACATTTTTGGGTGTGATACTTTGATATTTTGACAAGCGAAATACCCCCCCCCCTCCACAATACAATTTATATCTATTATTATCCAAAATAGAAATAAAGTCAACGGATGGCATCAGAAAGACGCAACAGCAAGATGATTAGCGACTTTAACTATGCAGATATCCATAGCGAAATTAATCAAAAGAATACAAATCAAGTGGCTGAAAGACTTAAACCACTTATAACAACCGGATCTACTGGATATTACAAGATCAAATTACCATAGTTCTCGATATCCTCGGGCATATCATAGTTGATGACATGCATGATCTCTGGAAAGTCCAAACCCTTGCTAGCGACATCAGTAGCGACAAGAACATCCCGTTGTCGATCGCGGAAAGCCTTCACAGCAGCGACTCGTTCCTCCTGATCCTTGCCTCCATGGATTGAAACAGCATCGACACCCTTCAAAAGAAGATATTCGTGAATTGCATCCACGTCTTGCTTGCGTTCGGCGAATATGATTACCTAGGAGGAAGAAGTAGGCTCAAATAATCATTGAGAATTGAGATGATTGAGAAAACCTCATTTCCATAGACAAAGAAACTCCCGGAGTTAAACATTTTGGAACTGTTATTTACTGTCATTTGTTGCTAACCGTATTCTAAGCAATTAAAATCTAGTTCTTGGTATATTCGTTCCCAGAATTGCATGAGTCACAAACAGGCAATGTTTAATTGATTTAATTTAATTTTGGTGATAACCAGACTGTGAATTACTTCATTTCCCACACTGCATTTTACCAGAATTTAACTCTATTGCTCAATGTAGAATAACTTTTTTTACTAAAAAAAAGTAAAAATGAATAAAAAATGCACATTCATCTGCATATATTTTTAAAAAGTTAGTTAAACTGGTAAAAAATACGAATCTACTCGTAGATTCGTAGTTGACGATGACTAAGAGCAACTTTTTGCAAACGAGCTTCCAGTTGCTTCATCACAAGGTAAAACTGCACAATGTTTTGCCCTGTAGAGTGATACTACTACTACTAATATAACAGATACGTTGCCTATGAACTAAACATTTACAAAATACGAAGAGTATCATGGAGTGCCCCTCCAAAGCAGAAATTTCTGGAACTTAGAGGAAACACGCAAAGTGCTTAATTAAATCCTACATTAACGAATAGAAACGATGTACATACGGGGATCTATAAGTAGCAAAAAGCGATAATTAATAAAAAAAATACGAGCTGATAGGCGTAATTTATTAGTATCGAGTGGATCAATCAATCAAACGTTTTCAAAGACTTAAGTAACAAAGGTATGATGTTTTTTAATCCGCAAGGTGTGCAAAACACTATCATCAAAATACCCCATAACTCATTTTACGAGTTTTTCTTTATGAAAGGGGCAATTGAAGGATAGGCAAACGGTAGCTCATATTTATTTCCCCACCTAAACACAAAGAATGTTGAGGAAGAATTTGAATTGACAAGTTCCCTTTTTATAGAAAGATAGCTAATCGCTTCAGATAAGCTTCAACAAGTAAAAGAGATGGTATTGGCTATAGCACAGGCTTAGACGCTGAAATCTCATAATAGAGAGAGAACACAAAGAATTAACTATGCTAATTAGAGCGCAGCTGCGGCCCTAAGGGTTAATGGTGGCAGTCTGCAAAATCAAGGGTCACATGCTTGATGACCATCGGTGCATGCCCCGGTGAATATTTAGTCCGGCTAATAAAGCTCAATGGAGTGACTGCAGAGACATGTTGAAATTGCAAGTTTTGACAATTGACAACGTGCAATTACAGCAAGAAACGAGACCTAAGAGCATCTTTGATTAGGAGAATGTAACGTAGTTAGAGGTAATTTTAAATCCCTTATCCAAATTTAACTTATTTATTATTAAACAATTCGCAAAAAATTATCACGCCCACAATATCTTCGACTAGCATAGAGGGGTCGTTCTGCATAAGAAACACACATTTTAAAGTTCATAACTAATTGACGTACTTAAACATTCAAGGTAATGGGGGCGTAGTGACAAGCATTGATCTTTTGACCTATGAATTAGCAGGTTTAAAATTTTGACTGAGACTCAAAGTGGGGTGAGGGGTACGTCACCTTAATACTGTCATTCCTGAGTAAGTATAGGAATGACGTCGTCTGATGTTGCAGAAAACTACTTTACATTTCAATACCCTACCTAATTTCCGACCAAGAAAAATTTGACTGGCTTCTCTGAGACACTCATCTCGGAGAGAAGACAGAGGTTACAATTGACGAGGAAAATAGGAAAGGAGAGTACAAATTCCCCTGTAATGACACAAAAGGGCTGAGAAGAATGTGCACTTCTTCACACACTCACAGACGGCAAAAGAATACACCACGCATGCAATACATTGTCAAGATAATATTATTAGCCTACTCACACCTGGTGATAATTAAATTGGAGGGAGGGAGGCACCTGGAGCATTCATTCCATTTATCAGGCATTAATTTAATTTGAGCTTTAAAGAATGCGAATCACTGCCACCTAAGATAGTGACGACTTTGAGTACTGAGATCATCCAATTTACTCCGTGAGTGCAAAAAATACGACGGGAGAAAGACAATTGGGCCTGACTAATTAACAGTAATATTTTAGGAGATATCTATTAGCAAACGTCATCTTAGCTTACTAGCAAATCAAACTCGAGTGAAATACGTTCCATTATATAGAAAAAATTATCATAAGATCTAAACTGAGACTCAAGGGAGTTGGTTTAAGAGATCACACGGAGACAGAAGTCATGTCTGAGGGTTTCAATTCTCAAAGTTGAACGTGCAAACAGAATTGAAATTCCACAAACGATAGTTGCCAGCGTCTTGCAAACCTTACCTCACATGATAATTTTTAATTCTCCAGTTCCTTCAGAAAAGGCATTCTGGAGTAAAATGTATTCATTAAAGACTGACAATTCAGGTCAAACAATGTACACGATAATGGCAAAACTTATAGGTTTTAATTTATAATGAACATTCAAGTTCAACGCTACCGATGTAGATACAAACATACACTGTTCAAGGAGACTCACCGGTGGAGAGGTCTTCTGCAGTGTTTCCAGAAGCTCAGGTATCTTTGCCTCGAGTTTGACGTAGGTAACTTCTTGCGCGACATTCAAGCTAGCAGCACCGGCTCGACCAACATTCACTGTGACGGGTTTCACCAATGCCGATTTGGCAAAATTCTGGATCTTCTTCGGCATGGTGGCTGAGAAAAGAAGTGTTTGACGTTGACCCTGTAATAAAGACAAAAAATCGAAAAATATGCTACTGAAATTATTTAAGTGATAGGTCAAGCAGAAAGAATGGTCGAAAGCCCAAAAAGTCATGTTAGGCCATTAGGTCATGGTTACTGATAATTTACAATGGATGCGTTATGTAACCTAGATTAAAGAAGTTCAATTAATAGGAAAGGCGATGCAACTTTACATAAAAATCAAAAGCATAAAATAGCAGATGGAACAGAGAATAGGGTGGATAAGGATTTATCTGCGAAATCAAGGATAAGATCTGCCAAGGAGATTAAGGGGGCAAAAATCGATTTTTGCCTTGACGATAATTAATACTTGATTTCGTGGTTTCTTCCCTCTTATATTGAAAATAAGGGGTGTGGGGTAGACTTACCTCCACGTGGTGCACCCTGGGCAACGTATATTCATACGGCAAAAAAGTCTATTATTCGGCAGTTGACTTCTGACCTCTAAATACCATCACCCCACTGTATGTCATATTCGACTATTTCCACAGTACTCACCTCACCATTTTTCTACCTTTGCGTTTGTCTCTTACATCTTTGAAACACTCTTCTGTTTCCCTCTCTCGAGTATTTTCAATTTGATGTTCCTTCCCCTCTGTGAAGCCTGAAGTCAACTAAAGGGCTAATGATAACCATCAAGACGCCTGCCAGTTGGTCTAAATATTGAAAATAACGTATGATGATGAGCCAAGAAGTTTTCCAACAAATTCCACAATTTGTTTATTTAACAAGCGTTTACATTCACTTTTACACAAATTGCTTCATGTAAGAATCTTGGCTGTAGTCTCTGGTACCATAAAATTAAATGACTTTTCCCTACATCTAAGGGAGCTAGGTCTGAACCACAAGGATGTGGAAATTCGCTCAACAGGGCCCTGATAATTCTTAAAGAATGTGACGAGACATTGTAATGATGAAACAAAATTTCACTTTGCAGTTTCTCGTGCCACATTTTTGGCGCGAGGAATTTCTTCAACTTCTTCGTCAAAATGCCTTCTTCATAACTTGAGGTGACCGTTTTGACCTTCCAGAAAGCTTATTAATACGTACCACTAATTTTCAATCACAAAAATAGACCTTTTAGCTTTCGACTCGACAGGCCCACATATTCCCATTGGATGTCACTCGTTGGATTGAATTTAGTTTCCTTCATCAAATTGGCAGATCGGAGTTTCATGCCCGGTAACACAGTGCTTAAATAGATTATCCTCATTTGCTTCCACCTTTGCCAAAGTTGGTAAAGAAGGTTGCTGTTCCTGCAACGCTTTTGGCGCCCAGTGTGCCCACCGAGAGCTTGCTCGAGACAAGATTTTCAGTGAGATTTGAAAATGTTGATCAGCGTGCGATTCCTACTTCACTGGAAGCTCGTCCACCCTGTTCCACTAGTTTCTGAACAAGAGAGATGCTTTCTTGATTTCTTGCTGTGTTGAAACTCTATCCTTCCTCCTCGTGGATTGTCATCAAATTGCACTCTTGCCTCTTTAAATGATTGCTCTACTTGGTGCAGAGTCCCCATAAACCTGTTGTAAAACTTCTATGATCTGAACAGGTTTCTAAATTAGTTTAGTTGCGAATTTTACGTTAGCTCTGATCTCAAAATTAGCAATTTTGAGATGTAAGCTCTCTTGATCATGACCTTACATATAATGATTGGACAGTTGTATGTCAGTAAGGAAAAACTACAGACATGCTTGAACTTGTAAATCTTTGCTCTATTTAAAGTTATATTAGGTTGGCAACTAAGTCATTGCCGATTTCAAATAAGAAGGCAAATTCGGAATTTTTGTTTAAAAATATAGCTCTATTCAACTAGATATTGGCCGTTCTTGTCGATGACCTTTTTCCATCGTTCTGGCAGAGTAAAAATTCCCCGTTCGTAAAATGTCTGGTCTTTGGTATTAAAAAACTGAATTAGGTGTGATCCGACATCATCCGCGTTGTTACAAATTTTACCATTTAAAGAGTTTTGCATGGAACGAAACAAATGGTAATCCGAAGGCGCAAGGTCAGGGCTATATGGTGGGTGTGACAAAACATCCCAACCCAGTTCCAATAATTTTTGCCGAGTAACCAAAGATGTGTGGGGCCTTGCGTTATCATGATGGAAAACAACACCCTTCTGATTTGATAATGCCGGCCGCTTATCTTCAATTGCACCCTTCAGTTTTTCGAGTTGTTCAACATACACATTTGAATTTATCGTTTGTTTCAGCGGCATGAGTTCAAAATACAAAATTCCTTTGTGATCCCACCACACTGACAGCATAATCTTTTTTTGGTGAATCTCTGCTTTTCATACTGTTTGGGCTGGTTGATCTTGCTTCACCCATGATCTCTTGCGAGCAACATTGTTATAAACTATCCACTTTTCGTCGCCAGTAACTAGGTTCTTCAGAAATGGACCATTCTCATTGCGTTTCAGTAGCGGCGAATCACAGATGCTAATCCGTTGCGTCAAATGAATTTCCTTTAACTGGTGAGGGATTCATAAATCAAGTTTCTTGACATAACCAAGGGTTTTTAATTTCTTTTCAATGCATGTATGCGACACATTGAGCTTCTCTGCAATATCTCGTGTTGTGCTGTGACGATTTGAATCGATAATGGCCTTGATATGGGTTTCATCCACTTCGACTGGGCGGCCAGATCGTTGTGAATTTTTCAGTGAAAAATCACCGGAACGAAATCTTTCAAACCAATTTCGACACTGCCTTTCTTTTAAGGCGGCTTCATCTCCATATACGGCACATAACTTCTTTTGTGCTTGCGATGCGTTCTTGCCTTTTCGGAAGTAATACAATAAAATGTGTCGGAAGTGCACCTCCTGTTCTTTCATTTTTAAATTTGGATAAAAACAAAACTAAAGAACTAAACAAAAAATTTTTTACTAATTAACCTAGAAGCCTATACAGTAAGAAAAAAATATAGATTAGATGCTCTGGCCACGTTGACAAAACAAAAGAAAGTATAGAGTGAATCTGTCAACAAAAACGGCAATGACTTAGTTGCCAACCCAATAGTATTTGCCTGAGAGCTTGTGACTCGGACCTCTTATTAAGGACACATTTCTGTGGTAAATGAGAGAAGATAGTAGATTACAGATCGTTTCTTAAAAGGCAGTTTCTCTTTCCCTCAACTGCAAGCTTATTGTGAATACTTTAGACAGAGTTCAACAGCCATCGATGTTCACCTGGGAAGAGGAATGGCTAACCGCATCGATTAATTCTGGCTACAATGGAACTGGCAGACGAAAAATTAAATAATACATAGGCAGAAAAGAATGAGCTACATATTGTCAAACATTTCACAATAAATCCAATATCCATCCCGTATTGATCCAAATAGTGGTCTTAGACTTGCTACTGAAATATCGGTAAGTAAACAGTAAAGCGGACTTTACCTTGAAATATGAGAAGATAGTACGAACTTCTTCCTCAAAGCCCATATCGATCATTCTGTCCGCCTCATCTAGAACGAGATAACGGCAGATCTCCAGGTTTAAAAACTTCTTTTCTAGTAAATCAATGAGTCTGCCGGGTGTGGCAACGAGAATATGAATGCCAGAACGTCTGAATGTCTCCACTTGATCTTTGACGGCCATACCACCAATGCACAGACCGACACGAACTTCTGGATAGCCGGCTTTAGCCATTTTTGAGGCTAATTGGGTTATAACCTCTTGTGTTTGACGAGCCAACTCACGCTATAAGAAGACGGATTAAAACATTAATTATTTAAATAGGGAGTATTCAAAAAACGAAGGGTAATAGAAGGTTTTTAGAAGGAAATTTAGTAACTTATAATAGTAAACCTGAACTATTTAATGGTAAAGCCATATAAAATTGAACGCTTTTATAGAACATAATTTTTTAGTTTAGAAGGAAAATTTCCGACTAGATAGGTAAACATATGAATAGCCTACTCCATTAAAATAACTTAACAGCTTGCCAATAGGTTAGTAAGAAAATGACTCTTAAGGTGAATAATAGTCACCATATAGTGCAAAGAAAGGCAACATAAGATCAAAAGAGAAATAACACACATTGAATAGATGGGTTTTAAACGGTGTTACTAATATTTCCAGACGACAAGAAGTCACCGAATGGATAAATAGCATTGACATATTTAGGCAGACAATAGAATAAATGCTATATGAATATCTACTCACTAAGACCGTATTTAAGAAATAAAGATAGGTACTGATTAGGCATAGCTTCATAAATATTTTGGCTCAAATAGTATGTCTTACAAATTGAAGGTGTATGAATAATTATTGAAATGAGCGGCAAAATAACATTACAAAGAAATTAATTTAATTTAATATAAAATTCTTTTCAATTAAACAGTGGTAACAATTAGTGGAGGAGTAAAATAGGATGAATAACAGATTCAACACCTCCTAAGTTGCAAATAAACCGAACAAATTAGTTAACCAGAACTTTTAAGGGCCGTCTTTTAACATTCCATGGTAAACAGACTTAAAATATCTTCAGTTTAGACTCTACCATAACGGAATTAGATGATATTTCTTCAGATTTTCTGTAAGGTAAGTTGGGACTAGGAGTAAGAGGATCGTGTGACGAACATGAAAAGGAATGGAGCCCAACAAAACAGTAAAGACAAGTAGAGAAAAGTGCAACACAAGCAGAATACTAAAGTAAACCTAAAACCAAGACAAACTTCAAAAAGGTGAACAGGGTGATTAAACTTACGGAAGGTCCAAGAATTAGGCCGTAGGGTCCTTCACTGGGCAAGAATGGTATTTTAGACTCTTGATCGAGAGCGAACATAAGGATGGGTAGGGCAAATACCATTGTTTTCCCAGAACCAGTGAAAGCGATTCCAATCATATCTCGACCTGAGAGAACTGCTGGCAAACCTTGCATTTGAATGGGTGTCGGTTTCACTATTCCACGTGCAGCCAACTCTTCAACAACAATTCGAGGAAGACACATCTCAGCAAAGGAACGAATTGGTGGGGGTACGTTGTCACCCTCCACTAAAATGCGATAACGACGACGTATTGCTTCCCGCTTTTCCTCATCCATATTCTCTATCCACGGTGCTGGTCTCCATCTAAATATCAATCAGTAATTTAATATGCGAGTTTTCCCATGAGTCAATAACTTGAAGAAGAATCAATTTACCCTGTTTGGATTGGCTTATCGTAGTGAATACCCATAGCAATTTCACCAACACCCTTCAAAGCAGTCTTCTCCGTAACACTATTCAAAATTAATGCTTCTTCTTTCAGTTTCTTGTCCCGTTCTGTCTCTCTCTTTTCTAAAAATTCGCAATTTAGTAGGTACAAAGACAACAAAAATCAATTTAAGTACAGTAAAAAGAAAAATAACCTTCTGCTTGTCTCTTTAATTCCCACATAGTATCGAAGAGACTGCCTTTGGCTTTAGGTCCAACGTTTTCTTGAAGGTCTAAGTCAGCACTTTTCTGTTCAGGGTTGGATGGTGGCAGACCCGAACCGTCGGCTGTTTCAGAACTTTCGTAGGAAGTTTTACCGCATTTTGATGCCTTTTCATCTTCATGATCCGATTCTGTGGCCTCAGAATAGGCGAGATTTCCCAAAGCTTGTCGCACAGCATACAGCTGAAACAAAATGGGTACAAAGATTAAAATTGTATACATCTAAACAGCTATTGACAGCATAGTTTTCGATTGCCGGCAATCATAATTCCACAACATAATAGATAGCCAGTGTCGAATTGAAAGCATCGATTAATAATGTTAGAATAAGATAAATAATAGAACAAACAAACCTGTTGCTTTTTTCGCTCTTTTATGGGAACGTATGGAACGTAATCATCATCTTCTGAGAGAGAAGAAACATCCGAATCATCATGCGAACGCTTCTGCAAACAAAAAGAAGCTATTGACCGGAAAACTAACCACTAAGTTTGAAGTATAAGGGCATAAATACAGTATTAAAAACAAATAATCATAAAATAATGGATTATTAACGCCTACAAATTAGTATAGTTCTCCAAATAGCAAACAACATACCATGTTCTCACACGAACTTATCACGGCTACCTTGAATGCCAAAGGTCAAAGTTAAAATATAATGAATACAAATTTGTAATCGCGGTTTAATATATTTCTCATAGATCTAACGTTTATATTTGTTGATAAATAATAATTGTACGTTTAATGTTTTTGTAACGAACAAAATTACCTTTACAAAGGAAATATAATCTAGTCAAGAAATTATTATTTGGGCTCCATTTATAAATTGCTCTAGGTCACGCTGTTAGTATCCATTGATGGTTATCATCGAACCTGATGTCTCCAGAACCAATTCAACTTGATAAATTTTCATTAGAGCTTTGCGTTATTGCTTTTCTGTCAATTGTTGGATATTTTCTTACGAAATCTTTGTTAAAGTCATTCGGTCCGGTGTTTATTAAAGCTGGTCTTCACGGGGCTGATATGAGTAAGCCTAACCGACCGTTATTGTAAGCCTTTTGTTTGATAAAATTACTTATCGAATATATCTAGGCCAGAAGCTCAAGGTGTTCTCGCTGCAACTGTTTACATTAATATAATGTTCCTCTTTATCCCCCTTCCTTTTCGCGCGCATATTATTCAGTCAATGGGTCTAAATAATATTTTATCCCCACCATCTTCTCTTTCTGACGATGATATATTAGCAGAACAATCTATTTTATTTAAAAGAGTAAGTTTGCGCTATTTTGATTAATCATTATTTAGCTTATCCCTTTTCTTGCTGCGCTTCTTTCAATATGTTGCATGATATTTTTGGGTTTCGCTGATGATGTCTTAAATCTCCGTTGGAGACACAAACTTATCTTGCCAACACTTTCTAGTCTCCCTATTTTAATGGTTCATATTGCAAACCTCGGGACTACACATATCGCTGTTCCACTTTCCCTTCAACGCTATCTCGGCACTAGCGTTGACATAGGTGTTTATTTTTTTAAATTTATTCTATATTCTACTTCAAAATACCAATTAATTGTGTACTTTTTTCTGATTATTCTATTACAGGTCCCCTCTACTACGTTTACATGGGAATGCTCGCAGTTTTTTGCACGAATGCGATAAATATCTATGCGGGTATCAATGGACTTGAAGCCGGTCAAAGCGCTGTTATTGCTTTCTCCGTCATTGTTTTTAACCTCATTGAACTTAACGGTGAGTTATTTTGCACTTCGGATTGGCTTTTAACTTACGTTTGCGTTTTGAAACAATGTTCAATAACTTTGTAATATGTCACTAATTGCTTTTATTTTATTAGATGAAATTTTATTTCCTTTTCTTAATTATCATAGCTTCTACAAAGAGTGTAACATATTTGATGAAGATAATGGATGTTTTTTGTTTACATTTTTTGTGGGAGGTATTTTGGGGCAGCGATGAATACACCCAGTGTAGTTACATTGTTGCTGTAGTTTAATACACGGGATAAAAATATGAGAAAGAGGCGAGGGAATCATATTATTTATTAAATGGTATACGTGTGTATGTCTTGAAATCATTAATTTGGGCAACTGGGGTGTGCGATAAACTTACCTCCACGTGGTGCACCCTGGGCAACGTGTAATCATACGGCAAAAAAGTCTATTAACTGGCAGTTGACTTCTCACTTCAAGCTACCATCACCCCACTGTATTTCATAGTCGACCACTTCCACAGTACTCATCTAGCCTTACCTTTTCTTTGCCTTTATGTCCCTCTGTCTTTTTACATCTGTGAATCGCTCTTCTTTTCCTCTGTCGAATTTTTCTCACTTTAGTGTTCCTCCCTTCTGTAATGCCCGAAGTCAGCTAAAGGGCTAATGGTAACTATCGAAATGCCTGTCATTTGAAATCATTAATTTGTGCAACTAATCCCTATCAATGCTCACTAAGTTGCTTACTCCACGAGGTAAAATAAACCACTTGCTATCACGCTTGTTCCCTACAATGAACTCGAAGCTACCACAGGACTAAGCTCTTCAAGTGCATGCTTGAGGACAGGATAAACATTTTGAAAACGCGTAGAATTTTATCCTTTGACCTCACTTATATATATAGTATTAGATTATACTTGTTGACCTTTAAAATTCCTTCCTTGCTGGGGGCCTTAAAATAATGTTTGCTCAAGTGGTTGTTTATTGATTTTTTTTAATGAAAATATTTCTGTCGGTTTCGTTTCTTTTTGAAAAGCCAATTGAACTCCACAAAAGTATCTGATATGATTTCCTCTTAAGTGGGCCCATTTATTTACCTATTAAATCTCTTAACATTGTTGCGTTTCGCGACTTTTCGTTCTAAAGCAAAATTTCTTTGACCTCCAAATACCCTATTACTATTTTTAGCAAATTTTTGGCACAGATGCATGTAATGTTAGTTCTGTCGTTGATTCTTATAATCTCTTTTTAATTATCTGAGTTGTTTTTCAAGGTTGTTTTCATATTTTTATATCCTGATGGTACGTTTCCCTTTTAAATGCAATACTCTGATCACGAAGTTTAACAAAGCTTTGTTTTACTAATGTTTTATTAATATTTAATTCCTCTTTATTTGATTTCTTATGGTAGTTTGGTGTCGAAATCTGAGCATCATTTTATCTTAGTAAAAGATACTATGCCACTATGTCAAGGTAATTGCTTATGATATACAATTTCTTGCATATAAAGCCGATTGTCTTTCGATCGAAAATTTGCTTGATTTTTTGGAATTCATCCTCCTAATTCCGTTTGGGAAATAACTTAAAGAGTATGGCTTGGAGCTTGGAACTAACTGTTCTTTCTCAAGTGAGAAGGCTTAGAGTAAGAGACAGGAATGAAGAGAAGTGGAAGGAGAAAGGAAAAGAGTCAGCGTTTAATAAATGAGACGGCAGTTGTGGTAAATGTATAGCAAGAAATTTGATGGATTTTGCGTTCTTGGCCCTCTGATAGCAGTATCTGAAGTTGTTAGAATTGTAATAGGCCAAAATCATTGCACTTTATCTAGAATTCAATAAGAGGTATTTATTTTTTTTATTTATTCTTTTAATGTTCCTTTTTTTATTCCCCCCTAGGCGCAGAATGGAAATCTCATCTCTTCTCATTCTATTTCCTCCTTCCATTCACAGGCGTTACCTTAGCTCTGCTGCAAAAAAACTGGCAAGTTATCTTGACAAAATGCATGCATGTACGGAAATGCCGTTTTCGGATAGTAATTATTCCAGTGATTATTTTTTTAGGTGTCCCGCTTCAATTTTTGTTGGTGATACTTTCTGCTACTTTGCTGGAATGACTTTCGCAGTTGTAGGCATCCTCGGCCACTTTAGCAAGACTCTAATGCTCTTCTTTATCCCACAAGTCTTCAATTTTCTTCTCAGTCTCCCTCAACTCTTTCGATTTATTCCATGCCCAAGACATCGACTCCCTCTGTAAATTATCGTTTCAACTTGTTTACTTATAATAATTCAGTAACAATTCAAGTAATGTTTTGTAAAATGGCTTCAGGTTTTGTGAAAAAAGCAATGTCCTTTACCCAAGCACAGTTTCAGTGCATCTGAGTTCACTCTCTCCACTTGGACGCTTGTGTCTGCGGATACTTCTGACCTTAAGATTGACGCATCTTGTGGTCCCAGATTCCTATTGTGTGGATTTGGACGCAAAGGAGGAAGCGGATTCTGGTGAGTCTGTTACTATTGACAATCTCACTGCCATCAATCTCCTGTTGCGCCTTGCTGGACCTATGACTGAAGCTCGCGCTACCACGTATCTTCTCATTATTCAGGTAGGTCTTCTTAATTGCCTTCAATAACGGCCAATTTTGCATATACTGACAATTAATTTTTTGATTCAGGTGTTATGCTCGTGTTTAGCTTTTGGAATACGCTATCCCCTGGCTAGATATCTGTACGGGTGAATGGAAAGCCTGGCTGCAATATCAAATCCCCTCTTTTTCAATCTCTGATTTGGACATATTTATTTGATTGTGGATGAAAAAGTTTTCATTGAATCATGTGGTTTGTTGTGGTTGAGGAAATTTCGACTTTAAAGAGGGGGTAATGATGTCTAGGAAGGATTATAGGAGATAGAATTTAAATCTTTCTGGTATCTCTTGATAAAAAAAATTGTAGTTTTATTGTTCTGTTAATTTGATTAAAAGGACTATAACGAGCCTTCCATATTCTTGTTGTTGGTCATGTGGCTCAAGAATTTCTTTGATGTTGTGCAGGCCATTAATCATTCCTTCTTTTATTTACAATCTTGATAATCGGAGATGCTTGAGCGTATTAGTGTCATGTAGAGATTAGCTGTGGTGGTTGTCCACTTTGAAATTTCATTTTGCGCTCTGTTTCCACGAATGGGTTCTTACATTCGCGCACACCTTTGTATTTCTTTATTTCTGGTGCCGATTACTTATTTATTTCAAATGGCAAGCGTTTTGATAGTTGTCATTAGCCCCTTAAGCTGACTTCGGACTTCACAGAGTGGAGGAGGAATATCAAAGTGAGAAAAATTCAAGAGGAGGAAAAGAAGAGTGATTCACAGATGTAAAAGGGACAGATAGACACAAAGTAAGAGAAAAGGTAAGGTGAGTACTTTGGAAGTGGTCGAATTTGACATACAGTTGGGTCATGGTAGTTTGAAGTCAGAAGTCGCATGAGTATACGTTGCCCAGGGTGCATCACGTGGAGGTAAGTCTATCGCACACACCGTTTTTGGGAGATAACGAGAAGTGTAGTAATAGGGGAGTTATGAATGAGTCGGCAGATTTCGGGGGTTTATTTATTTAGGACGAATATGAAAGGATACAAAATAACTAGTTAGTTCCAAAACATTTCGTCAATAAATAATAGGGAGTTATCCCCTTTTGTTCCGCTGGAATTGACTCATAAAGTGCTTATTTTCCTTTGAGACTCGCGATTGTTAACTTCTGAGGGTGTGTTCATGGCATTCATAATTCTTTCCTAAACTTGATTTCTAAGGCGTTTTAATATTTCCCACAAAGTGGCTTGTAGAAGACATCGTTTGAATGAGTTCTTCATTAAAAAAATTATTTTTAGGAATATAAGTGGATTAAATTAATCTGACATCGCCTGCAAATTAATAAATTAAGAACAAGAATCGAGAGTTAAAAATAAGCTTTGAAAGCTACTGTCTATTCGGTACGCTGGGAAATCGATGAGCATGCCTGCCAAGGCAGACAGTGGTGCAGCTGACTAGACAAACTACTCGATTCTTCCTGTTTTCCCAACGCCTAATAGGATTTGATCGTTTCGACTTCAGTCAAAACGTGTGATTACTTTGAAGAATAAGATCTTGTTCACATTTAAGTACACACAAGTGTTTAAAGTACTTCAAAATAATTTAAGGTCATTATGAAAGCCTCATTTGGAGTAGAATAGATATTAGTAATATTTTTTAAATGTTCACATTTTGCAGTCATTAGGATAATCTTTCTTTTGATTGATTTCTATTTTGTAAAAACAATTGGTACTTTCTATCAAGGTTGACTAAAAGTGTTCCATGCGCGATAGCACATCCCAGAAAGTGTGGCCGTGAGTGTGGAATCCTCCCAGTCGATCGGCAATCGAGTGTGTGCAACCTTGAATAACACTAATTATTCTTAATGGGAAAGCATGGTGGCTGCTTTCCTTACATATTCATCAAACACTTTTCACGTCATAGATTCTGTGTTCTCGCTTCTTTGAATGTTGCTTAGCTAATTGCGGCAACACCTTTATGTTAAAAGTTTTGTCAGAAAAAATTGTTGCTATTTAGTCAAGACAACAAGTGAATTTTCAGCTAATTGAAATTGAATTCCATCATTAACTGTTTGGTCGAAGAATAAACTCTAACCTACTCAGAAAACTGAGTATAACTAGAGAGAATATCATGTCAGATCCGGCTAGCTTCTCTATCTTTCCTCCGATGAAAGTAACATTAACAATTCCAATATTAGATACTATTTAGAATTTAATTACTATTATCGCAACTGAAAAAATAGGAGGAAACGTTTCAGTTAATTTTTGCAAAAACTTTTTAATGAGTATACTCGGAATAAAATGAATAAAGAAACAAAATTCATTCAAAAACATTACCGGTCTCTTGTCATTAACTTCATTAATAAAGTTTAGCACAAAAATTGCACCTTTAAAATGTGGGCCTGAGTTATCAAGCCATACTTCCAGAATTTTCCGAAAATCCGCCCGGGCGGTTAAACGGAAAATTCTACATCCTGAAGTTATTTTTGAAACCCGAATAAGTGCCCATGGACGATAATACAGAAGTAAGATATTTATCCCAAGGGCCAGTGATAAATATCATAAAGCTTGCCATTTGATATAAATAAATAAATAAATATTTCTCCCAAGATGAATACACGCACGCACACACATATGCATATGCATGCATATGTTCTGATTGGCGGATTTTCGGACAATCCCAGTACTTGAGTTATTTAAAAGAGTATGTATTCAAATCTTATACTTTCTTACACAATAATTAATGTTGAAATAATAACAATTGAATATTCCAGATATCCATAAATTAAAAAGGTATTATGTTCTTATATTAAAATAAAAAACGGAAGAGTCTTATTATATACAATACCAAAAGACGTTCAATTTGATGTCAGCAATTTGTGCGCAGACTGTTCCGTAAGATTAACAGACAGTTTAAAGCGAAATTTAGTGTCTAAGGAAATTTGCATGAAAAAAGCAAGAAAATTATGATGCTCACAATATTCGCCTCTAAATTAATTGCTTACTAAGCTGATTGACTAAAAGATCTTAATGGCAATGAACTTTCAAAGATATTTTACCACCAGAAAGAAACTACGTTGTACTTTGCATGGTATCGTCCAGAACAGTGATCGGCTTGCACGTCTGTCTAGCAGATATCGCATGATTGTTAATTACTGTCACAAATAAATGATTTAGAAATAATAACCATTTTAATTCTGATCAACAAAGAGGCTAGTAAAATGTGAGCTTGTCATGGGAAAAACTTCAGGCTGCAACCCATTTACTAAAGTCATTCGCAATTGATACTTTCCTTAAGGCTATATACAAGTTAGGCGGATTCTGCTATTCAAATAAGTTTTGCAATTAAATAAATGGTAGCCTTTAAAGAATTGATAAAAGAGAATAAAATCCTTATAGATGAGGGATTTTCAATTACATTATCATAGAATTTTACTCTTTTGCATGTTCCGATTTATTGAAAAGGGATGCGTATTTTTAAATGAGGAGAAGTATTCTTAAAATTCCACAAGCGAAGGCGAGAAAGTGACGCGTTCCGATATGGAGGGTGCTCTAGAAACCGATGTCGTCCAAATGACACCCCCTCAATTGCCTTAATTTTTCAATCGATTTATGCACAATGGCGGGGGTCAACTTGGGATCTGTTTATAGGGTTTATTATTTTTACTCCTCTATGTTTTTACCATTTGTGTTTTTCTCAAAATATATATATGTTGTCTTCTTGGGTGAAATATTCTACTTCTGTTTTATCGCCCATGGGCATTTATTCGGGTGGGCGGCTATTTGGTTCCAAAAAATTTATTTATTTCAAATGGCAGGCGCTATGATAGGTATCA